TTTTAAGGATTTATTTTCTGGTCTCATATTTTTGCGTTTTTCTTCTAATAGATATAATCTGTTTCTTTCTGCGTCTCGAAATTTTCTTTTTTCCAATTTTGATTTACGAATTGGTGGCGTCCGAATTACTAGTTTATTCAAAATAGTTAATAACGGGTTATAGGTTTCACAGCACATTTCATCCCACGTCTCATCTGAAGGACAATTATTTTCTACTGGAACTTTTTTTCCTCCCAAAATTGTCCATTATTCCAATATTTTCGTTTTTCTTTTAATAGGTTAATAAGTCTAATTTCTTCTTCCTCTAGAAATTTTTGTCTCCAATCAGCATCCCAGGCTGGTACATTATTTTCTGTTTTAGCTTTAGTTTCAAAGTCACTTTTTAAGGCTCTTTTGTTAATTCTACACATTTTCGAATACCGATTATTTTGCAAGTAAGTACTGAAGTGAATTTGTATTGTTGCTTAGTGTAGTAGTTGTATAGGTGGTGTTAATTTAAAAAAATACTGGAAGATTATTCAAAGTAACATATCCACAATACAATGGTGTCGTGAGAAAGGCAACATGTGGGGAAATAGCACTTCCCTGGGAATAATAATTTTCTCAGAACTTATAGGATCAGATGGTTAAGTGATATATGTGGAACAGGAAAGCAAGTCAATGAAAAGAATATTGAGTACATCTGTCTCATATTCTGAAATTAATAGTTTAATGAGAAAGTCAACGCTCGGAGCGTAAAAATGTTTAGCAACGCTGAGAACAATTTGATGTTCCCAGTTCCCACAATGTAGAGAAAAATTGTAGGATCCCTTACTAGGCGAGCTACTTTAAGCCAATCATAAGATAAAACCAGGCTTATGGGCGGGGGTAGAGCGACATATTTTTGGAAAGCCAATACATGCATAGCAGAAAAATCGAGATAGTCTCTAATTGGTTTATATCTATTCAAAAAATTATGTGTTGTGGAGGAGAAATTGCTATATATTCGTATAAACTCAGTTTATTTCAAACACATCGTAAACATTAAACATATTAAGATGAAAATTAAAGTGATATCTGGAAACAGCACCATGGGGGCACCCAAGACAGTGCCGAAAAAATCATTCAAACTTTTAAAACATTTACGGATGGACGCTGGAACTTCAGACTTCCACAATATTCAAGCTGAGGAGTTTGATTCTAGCTTTGAAGTAACAGATGGTTATTTCGAAACACTTACACCCATTGGGAGCAATAGGGTAGTTCCGAGGGCAGTTCCAACTACTACAAAGAACCCAACACTCAAACCAAAGACGACAATAACGCTGTATGCGTTTGTTCCAAGAAAGCATACAAGTGTAGCGTGACAGACTGGTTACAGTGTTTCATATGCTCTTCATGGACACATGAAACTTGTGATATTAAGGGTATTCGAAATTTGTTTTGTAATAACTGTTCCTAAGACAGTTTCTGTTTAAATAAAAATATTTGAAGTAATTAATATCGTTTAATGCGAATGCAATTTTCAAAACCACCACTGTCCTTTCCAAAACCACCACTGTCAATTTCAATACATCGATGTTTTGAAATGGACGAAAGCAACTTTTTCCAAATTTAAATATTACTCAAACTATAAGCTTGCCTATATTTTCTTAATAGTTAATTTTAGAAGCATATTAATAGAGCTTTCCACTTATGCAGTTTGAAATAATTTCATTGCGTAAAAGATTTTAATTTCATTATTTTTAATAAAGTGTCCACTTCATCCCGGTTCTCCCCTAGTTGGAATAGGCCTCCTTCATAATCGGTACTAGTAGTTGGAATAGGCCTCCAATCATAATCGGCACTAGCTTTGGTTTGGGTTTTAATTTTGGAATTCGGAAATATTGACCTCGAGGAAGTTCATCAGTAGACTGCTGTAATCGTCATCACTTGAATCGTGTATGGACAAATTTTCCGAGTCTTCTGAACTTGAGGACTCTTTAATTAGGGTTTTTATTCGTTTTTCTGTAGCCGTAGATACTTTTGGATTTGACCTTTTTTTTAGTGCCGCTTCTTTTTCTTATAAAAGTTTGTCTTTTTCTGGTGTGTCAGTGATTACTGTCGTTTTTCCCTTACGAGGTCCCCGCTGGTTGTTTTTCTTTGGAGGTGCCTAGGATATGGCCTTAGTTGTTCGGGAGTTATAGTAATTTTCGAAGTAGACGGCTGTACATCACCTTCTGAGGGTTGTGGGTTTGAAGCTGTAGCAGTGGACGTTGACGGCTGAGCAATAGGTTTGATCCCTTCTAAAGTGCTTGGATCCGGCCGATCTGACACATATGAAGACAAGAAATCATCTTCATAAAAGATATTTCTATTGAATGGATGTATTCCGGTTGCTAAAAATGCCTTTGTTATGTTTGCTGGCGAGAATGCATGAAGAAAACCCTCGTTAGCAAATGAGGCCACTTCATAAATAGTTATGGTTTTTCCTGGGTTTGACAACATCCAAGAATTCATTGTCGTTTTATATATGGTTTTAAAGGGCCCATATACAGAAATATCTAAAGATTGTAGTCGATGACTACAATGTGGGGGAAATGTAAGTATAATTATATGATTTTCCCTTGCTAACATGACAACTTCAACTGTAATATGCGTTTTATGGTTATCCATCAAAGTCAAGCATAGGTCGTCTGCAGTTGGCTCTACAAATTTTATGAAGTGCTTCATTGCATCTAGAAATCCTTCCTCCGTCATCCAACTAGTAAGATTTGCAACTCCTTTTGCACCAGTAGGTCCTTCTTTCAACATAATTTCTTTAAAGTGTACTCTAGGGAAAATAAAAAATGGAGGGATTGTTCCACCAGATGCATTAATAAATCCAAGCATTGTAACTAAATTGCCTCTCTTGGCTGAGGTCACTTGCCCGACTTGCTTTGAACCTCTTGTTGCTAAAACTTTTGGAGGATTTGTGACCGTGAGACAGCCAGTTTCGTCTAAATTCCATATCATGTGAGGCTTAAATTTATGTTTCTCCAGAACTCGCTGCAAGTTGTTATAAAACTTATTAACATTTGTTTGGTTGAAAGAAGTTGCTCTAGAAAGTGAAGTGTTTTCTGGTTTTCTTANTAGCACTTCCCTGGGAATAATAATTTTCTCAGAACTTATAGGATCAGATGGTTAAGTGATATATATGTAACAGGAAAGCAAGTCAATGAAAAGAAAATTGAGTACATCTGTCTCATATTCTCAAATTAATAGTCTAATACGAAAGTCAACGCTCGTAGCGTAAAAATGATTGGCAACGCTGAGAACAATTTGATGTACCCAGTTCCCACAATGTAGAGAAAAATTGTAGGATCCCCCCTTACTAGGCGAGCTACTTTAAGCCAATCATAAGATCAAACCAGGCTTATGGGCGGGGGTAGAGTGACATATTTTTGAAAAGCCAGTACATGCAAAGCAGAAAAATTGAGATAGTCTCTAATTGGTTTATATCTATTCAAAAAATTATGTGTTGTGGAGGAGAAATTATTATATATTCGTATAAGGTATGTATTAAACTCAGTTTATTTCAAACACATCGTAAACATTAAACATATTAAGATGAAAATTAAAGTTATATCTGGAAACAGCATCATGGGGGCACCCAAGACAGTGCCGAAAAAATCATTCAAACTTTTACAACATTTACGGATGGACGCTGGAACTTCAGACTTCCACAGTATTCAAGCCGAGGAGTTTGATTCTAGCTTTGAAGTAACAGATGGTTATTTCGAATCACTTAAACCCATTGGGAGCAATAGGGTAGTTCCGAGGGCAGTTCCAACTACTAGTGCCGATTATGATCGGAGGCCTATTCCAACTACTAGTACCGATTATGAAGGAGGCCTATTCCAACTAGGTACTAGTGCCGATTATGATCGGAGGCTTATTTCAAGTACTAGTGCCGATTATGATGACATCAGCGAACCCGAAAATGTTTCAACGCCGCAATCAGAAGAAAGTGATGACGAAGAAACCGCCGAGGTGCAAAGGTTTTTGCAAGAAGTGCAGCAATTCGCCAAAAAAAGTAAAAACTTCGCGGTCGCGAAAGTGATGAAGAGATTGGGGCTCTTAAGAAAAATTAAAAAATATGAACACAAATTAAATAATCAAAAAAAAATATTGGCGGAGTATGAGGAAATGATGAATATATGTGACAGAATATCTGAAATAGTGGCGTAGGACGTTATTGAGAACCGCAAAAACAGTTCCTGCTGTTCTGGGGAACTGGAGTGACCCACCTGAACGACGCGCTGGAACAACATGTGTGCCGAGCAACTATATTTTTAAAAATGTTAATATTGCCATTTTTAATTGTTTAAGTTAATTATATTAACAAAAAATATTAATTTTTTCAAATAGCATTTTGTAATAGTTTAAATTTGAATAACTTCATTATATATATATATATAATGGAACTAAAATATTATTATTCTGTCAGAATATTTTAATGTTAAAATTAGTTTTTAGTGTTCTATTTCTGTACATGTACTTGCCATATGTAATTGGAAAATAAATTATTATTATTATTATTATTATTTGTATTATTATCATTAATCTGGTTCTATGAATTATAAAATCAAAATCGTATCCGGATTTTACTTCGGTGATTGTTTCAATTTCTACTTGCAGCGACAAGTATTCGCGAAATGATTCGCTTTATCGTGATACATAAAAATTGAAGGTAGGTGCGATAAGCGACGGAGATAATCAGCAAGGCGATATGCGAGCAACAAAGTTAGGCGCGACGCGCCGGCGAGTGGTTGAGTGCTCGTGTGCCCCAAGTGGTTATAAACGGCGAGACAGCACACAAAATAACATAATGAAAGCGCGGACGCCGGTGCCCAAGACGTCGTCCATAGCGCGATTCCTTGCACCAGCGACGGACGTCGGTCTCAGATCCTCCCGTATCGCTCGCCGTCACCGTCGACAGCGCGGTTCAGGCGTCTGCCGGCAGATGGTCTGGTGGGGGTCGGCTTCAGTGTAGCTTGAACTTCTCAGCCGTCAACATCGCCCTCAACGGCGTTCGAGTGGCCTGTACGGTGCCTAGCTAGTACTTGGTTTAGTACTCTCCCGATCTGTCTGTCTCTTCTGTTGCGTAGCCGTGCAGCCAGTGATATTGGTGCGGAAACCCCGCGACGCGATTCCCATCTATCTAGTGAGGTCGAGTCGCAGTGTCAGTTCCTCGAGGATATGATGAAGTGCTCAACGCTCTTGGTGATAATGTGAGTGAGGGATGTCTGTTCGTAAAGGAGTTTTGACCAGCTGCCTTAGCTGGGAAGATGAAGAATCACCAGACGGTGAAGCAGTTAAAGATTCGGCACCTGGACACCAGATATCATTGCTCCGCAGATTCAGGGCCGTGAAGTCTTCTTGAGGAACTCATTTTCGCGCTAGACATGTATAGAATATCGTACGAAAAATGTGTATGTTTTATATTTCTAGTGATTTTAGCCGTTTTAAGTTGTTCTGGTTTCCGCATAGATAATTTAGCCATGACGGACATTAGCAAAAGAAATTTCCATACCTCAAGTAGTTTTTCAAATTCTGATGAGTTTTTCGATAGGATTTTTAACGTTCGTAGTTCACCAAGTGTTGATACAATTACTCCAACGTATCGTCACAAGATCAGACACCACAGGCAGTTGAGGGCACAAGCTCACAACTCGCACCGACGTTACGACCCGCAGAAGCCGCCCACAGGCCACATAGATGTCCAGGTCTTCCCGCCTCGTGCGGCCGGCTTCCCTCCGACCACGCATCCCAGCGAACACTTTGCCCAGATTCCATCTACCGACATCCACCATCCCCTATTCCCGACCAGACCCATCGTGACCCGCTCCCAGCGGTCCTCCGACAACAAGCGCCATCAATGGCAGCACAGCCAAGAGGAAGACATTTCCAGGAAGGCCTTCAGAGCCGAAATCGTCGTCCTCGCCCAGGCTGAGAGCGGTTCCACATGCGAATGTTTTTTCAAAGTCAACACGACTTTTAAAAATACCAAGCAGTTTCCGGTCAACGATCGGATCCTGCTGAAAATCCCCTGCGATAAAGACGAAAAGTCTCCCAAGTCCAAAAACCTAGTCAGAAACAAAATCCAGTTGGGGAAGAGTTACATTCTCTTCCTCAACGCATCTAATGCCCATACCTATTGGTCGGTAGACGTTCCCAAAATGATTAGACCAATTAAGAGAGCGAAGATTGAGAAGGTCATTAAGAGAGTTTGCAAAACAAAATTCGGTAAGTACCTTTCCTTTTCAAAAAATACCCAGGTTTATCAACTACTATATTTTTCAGAAATACGGTAGAAATGTTTTACTTATGTCATCAGTGTTGTAAATAAGAAAAACAGGAAAAATTCATTCATAATAATCTTAAAAATGTTAAAGATAAAAGTATTGCAAAACAAAAATATGAATAAGTTGATTTTATATATAAATTTATCAAAATGTGATCATCTGATGAAGAAATTCTATTAAATAAACATCTTTATTTTTACTATTTCATCTGATATTTGGTTCAAAATTAAGTTATTACTGAAAACACTTGAGATTTGGCACAAAGCTACAATATATTATTGTTAAACCAACGAATAAGTATTTGCAAGAATTCCAGATAACACTAATTTTTGTACCTATATGTAATAACAATTAATATTTTAATCCTCGCCTTTTTCCCTTTATCTTACCATTTATCGCTATACTACCTTGTATTTGTCTACATATTTTAATTATTTATATTAAAGAGATGTGAAATACATTTGTTTAGAATTTAAGACTAATATGTCGTACTATTGTTTAACAAGAAACAGTATTGTGAAATTTGAAATTGGAAACATGGTATACGGATATACATACAAATACTTGTCTGTGTCTCTTTTCTAAGGTAGCTACCTTCCAGCACACTTACAACTGAGTAAATTCATTTCAGTATGCAGGAAAACTAAAGTTTAAGCAAACATGTCTCAAATAAAACCACACAAAGAAGTTGTTTGGAATAAAAATATTTCAAAAATGCCCAATAATAGGTTCTTAAAATTTGATACTGTTGTTCTTATATTTAGTTTTTATGTGAAAAAGCAATCTAATGGTTTTGCATTTCAGTAAGCCTTCTACACCTATGACTTTATTTGAAATATACCTAGCTAAAATAACGCATTTGCAAAAAAGTTATCCCTATAAAGTTTTTGAGTAAAATTGCATAATGATCACTCCACTTTCTTTTTGTTTTACAGTAGAATAACAATTTTTCAAAATAAGTTTAAATGGGCTGACACAAGGAAATAAGCAATATGAGGAGATAAATTTAAAAAATATGTAAACATAGTTTAATAGTGTTATACTACGAACAAATGAACATATTAGAAAAAAACTTACAATACTTATTATTATTATCTTTCATTTTATTTTCTTAACTATTTTGTATTATCAAACAAAAAGAAAATGTGGTAATTATTAAGCATTTAAGTCTAAAATAAGCAAATAATTGCGACAATATTTTTTTCTCAAGTGTGTTGTTTTAATAAAATATAAATAGATCATTTTAAAAAATTAGGGACATTGAAATTACGCTTTAAAAATAGACACCAGGTGTTTCATTTTAGTGGAAACAGCTTATATCTGAGATTATTATTCTGTATATAAAAAAATGTTTCAAATAAATGTTGTAGCGTTCGTCAGGACAAGAAAGTATGGTACGTAATTTTCTTAAAAACTCACAACTTCTCATATCTGGACAATTATGTTTGTTTTTTCCTATCC